TATATATATATATATATATTTATTATTTTTATTACAGAAATCAGTGAAAGAATCTCCTGCTGTTCCTGGCCCAAGTGGTGATAATGCAGAGAGCGCGAAGAAAGAGGACGATGTAGAAGATGAGGAGGAAGATGAGAAAGAGAAAAATAAACTCAGGCCTAACAGTGGAAATGGTGCTGATCTGCCTAATTACAGATGGACCCAGACGCTCCAGGATTTGGAGGTAAGTAATATTAATACCTTGAATGCGACTAGATTTTTTTGCTTTAAAATAGCAAATTTATTAATGAATATTATAAAAAAATTGGAATCCTTAAGAATGCTTTATTTAGTTACTTAATAGAATATTAATTTTCTTAAAAATTAAATTTTATTTCATTTAGTTCAAATATTATTTTATTAATTTAGAATTTTATTATACATTATTTTATTCACTATTTTTATTTTTTTTATATTTCTCATAAATTAAATTTCGTCGTAAATTATATTCTAAAAGATCAAAAAAAAAAAAAAAACAAATTATATAACCTTCATTATACTTCGTAAACCTTTAAAAAAACATTTTTTTTCAATCTTTAATTTATTTTCATAATTAATTCTTAATAATAAAAAGAAAAAACACAAAGTATGTTGCAATATATATTATGGCAGGATAAAGGGAGAAAGGATGAAATAAAACAACATGATAATTTTCTTCATAGTTCGACAGTTTCTTGTTGAATCGACGATTAATTAATACGCAAGTAATATCACAGTTGTGAGTCAACGATCGACATCGACACGATCGTTGCTCATTTCTTTTCCATACATTCCCTGGAACACGATACCCTGACATATGTGGGATCCAGGTTTTATTTAGGCGTTTTTTCTGTTAGTAACAATTAAATAACGACCCCTAAAATTAACATATTCGCTTATCTTACTCCCATCTCGTCGATTGCTCCGAACTGTCCATCAACGTTAATCGAAGAAACGTATTTATGACTTACGAAATATTGCGCTGTATGACGACAATTTATCTTTTTACAATAGAATCGTTGTTAAATTTAATTTAAATCAGATTTAAATGAAATATTTAAATTGTTTTCATTTAAATTCAATTTAAATTAAAGAAAATCATCTCAGAGTTTTAAGCTCGAATAGAGATAATAAACAAAATTAGGAATAATACAGTTCGCTTATAATTTTCTCGTCTGACCTGATATAAAAAGAGAGAGGAAAATGGAAAGAAATATTGTACGAACAATTAATCGAATTTCGAATCAAATGGGTTTCTGGCGTTAAAGATAATCGATAACGGTTCAAGTTTAAGAATTAGGATCGCGTTCGTGCTATCTATACGGGCTTACCTAAAGCTAACTTATTACATGAATGTAATTACTGAGTTTTCACGTACCACACACGTTGAACACGGTGCAATACAGCCTTTGAAACTTTTTTCTCTGACAGAGAACGTCGTCTAATCGAGTCGTCCTAACGCTCTAAGTGATAATATACATGTATATTATAAATATACGAATAATTTCGTGATCGAGAATCCTAATTTTAAACGCTTCGAAGAAATTTCTTTTGTTCCTGGCCCCAATCGTTTTCGTTGCTCCTTCGTTAGGTTGTTTTGCGTAGACTTCTAAAGGATAGCCCACGATCACTCGACTTGCCACCTCCCGTCGACCTAGTGGTACTTGTCGCGAATTCTCACTGTAATCAAAAGTAAAAGGCACCGGAGACTGGTGGTGGAGACTAGACTTAGAAACGCTCTATGTGGTAGCATTGTTAATCTTTCGTAGACTGAGTCATTATCTTTCGAATTTCTTCTTCTTCTCTCAACTTTTTCTTCGAATTCTTATCTTTTCTTAACTCAACGATCGTATAATATTATGAAATATATTACATTCGAATAACTTAGTTGATAAATATTTAACATTTTTTTTTTTACATCTTGTAATAATAAAAACTTATATATAATACAAATCTAGATAAGACTCGATTCGTAGAATTTCTTTAGATTTTTCGAAAATTATATTTTTCGATGGTACAAAAATCAAATTTTGATCTACGAAGATTAAAGCATCGAAGAGTCTCTTATCAAAAAGTCGAGGAATCAATTAGAATCGCTACAGGAGATACTCACTTTCCATATAGAGAATCCCAAGCAGCAAACCGACCATGAATAGGAAGCTCATAGTGCAGACGAGCACTGTGAGCTGATTTCTCGCGCAGCAGGACTTCCTGTAGACAGTGGTCGGTCTGCCTAGGCCGTTCACCACGGTGAAGTGGGTGCTGCTCGCCACCGATGCAGTATCCATCTGTTTCGGTGCTGTCACTGTAGGTGGATGTATGGCCGCGAGATTGGCCAGGTTAGCGGCTGTCAGGAGTAATGTGCCCGATGCGGCACTCTGTAACACGATAGTAACGCAATTTAAATTTAACTTGTACAAGTAATTACTTAGCTTTCTAGATTAGAATTAGAAACGAATAATTAAATATTACAATTTACTAATCAATTAGATCAATCGTAGAATATTAATTTAAAAGTATCAGGACATTGAGAAATTAATTTCATTCTGATTATCATAGTTATATATAAGTTATATATAATAATATAGTACAATATAATAGTTTATGTGAAAGAATAATATGAAATAGATCTTGGTCAATCTTTAAGTTAATATATATAAATTTTCTCTTATATATATATTAACAAATTAACAAGTTTAATTCAAATGTAAATACCATTTATGATTCGACTCGACAAGAATATATCAAGTCTCGATACTTGTGATAATACAATAATAAACCAGATCTGGCTCGAATAACCCGTTTATCCCCGCTTACGTGTGTGCTGGCTGTGGATCCTTGCGACGAGGTGGATCCTCTGGACGGCGAGTTTGGATGCAGATGATGAGCCCAGCTACCATTCTCGCTGTCCCTCTCGCTTCGTCCCACCAAGGACGGCCTTGGGATGTGCCAGGAAAGCGGGCTGCCCGCTACCGCCGTCGTAGCCGCTGTCGCCTCGATCTGAAAGCAACGTAAATCGACGTGAAGTTTTGATTGCATAACCGATAATGTCGCGCCGATTACGCTTCTGCCTTGCCCGCATGTCCTCCACCTGCAACCGCGTGTTGTTTATCTGTCGCCGCACAGGGAACGTTACGTACGCTTTATACCGCTTTATCTCTGTTTCATCTGTACAACTGCCAACCTCGTGGCCCGATTGACCAATATTGAACAACAACAACAACAACAGTATCGAACAACGTGTTCAAACCCACGCTATTATTCGTAAATGATACAATTCTCCCTCTCCACGATTACGGCGCAATTTTCACGTCGATACTAATTAACACGACGAAACAATTGGGAACCTTAGACCACAGACAACTTTCGCGTTAACCAACCATTATTGTGCTCTCTTCCCGTTTTCCCCTCGTGCTTCATAAACAAACTCTACATACCGGCAAACACTCGTTTTCGAAACAGTGACGCAACCCGTCATTGTTCTAGCTCAGTCCTCGGTCTGCGGGTATGCGTATCGCGCGGTTTCACCGCGTCAAAATACCAACAGGTATATTTATATGTACGATGCACGGATGATCCGACGAAACCGTGTCAGAAAAAAAAATTCTCAACGCTCGATGATTCCTCGAAGGGTGGAGGGCGTCGTCCACGTCCGTGGAATAGAAACGGTTCCAAGAAGCTGGAAACGCGTCATCCTTCCATTCCTCGTAGCGCGCGATCGACTCGAAGGCGAAACTCGCTCCTCTCGCTCTTCTGAAGAAGGAATTTCGGGGGACCGTGTGTATATGCTGCTCCCAGCATATTCCGGTTCGATCGTTGCACAACGTGCAACTCTCGAATTCCAACGTCGTCGCCGTCTTCCAACTGCTCCACACGTCGCCGTCGCGTTCGTCGTTTTCGTGGGACACGGCCCACGAGGTGCACGGCCGCGAAACTCTCGTTCAGGGTCAGGCCTGGAAGAGAAACGCATTTCCGCGACTCCGTTGACACCGGGCTCGTGCGTCGATTACTCGTTAATTGGCCATTTTCGCACGTAAATCAGCCGCGTTTCGCGCCAACTC